TACTTGCTTTGCCCTCTGATTTCTGGATAAATAATCAGGTTGTCTGGTTAAAGAGCAAGGAAATCTTCCAGAAATCAAAAGCGTACAGCATCAAAAAACTGCAAAACCTTTGGCTAAGTTCTTTCTGCTCATTGGCTATCTAAGGTCATCAACCCAGAGTTTAGAATGGGGGTGGTCCAACCAGAGCAACTCTTAAGACCTGTGGAATTCAACTCCCCAGTCAATTATGCATGGAGTTGAAGTCCACACGTGGACTTGAACATTGAAGACGTGTGGACTTCAACTCCAGCATAATTGACTGGGGAATTCTGGGAGTTGAAGTCCATAGTTCTTAAAGTCGCCAAGGCTTGACCCTTGCTGTAGATCCAATCTGGGACTGTCTTTTATTTTCAATTCTACTTCATCACGGCTTTGCTTCACCTTACTTGACCGCCGTATGACAGAATTAGCTCCACCACGGAGCATTCAACAATGGCTCAGTTGGGATAGATTTGAAAATGATGCTGTTTGGACAACTGTTTGAATTTCTTTGGCTATTTATGTTTGTCTTGGGCTGTGGTAGATACACACTCCTGACCTTTCCAGTGATTAAAGGGCAAATAAAAAGGGAGAAAACATAAGCCAAATATGGCTGGACATTGTTTAAGAGAATCTGGTCCAAGATTTAGCTAATGTCAGGTAGATCAGCTGTAGAAGATTTCCCACTGGCCCCACGGACTTAATCTTGTTTATCTTAATGTTTCAGTGTTTTGCAACAGGATTAGAAGCTCCTCATCCTCCAGTGATTTGTTTTCTTTCTTTCTTGCATTACTTCTTCTCCTTGCTTATTCCTGGCTACTAAGATAAGTAAAAGAAGAGACTCATTTTCGAACATCAGCGGTGTTTATCTGCTGCTTATCAAAGCTGACCTTACAGATAGCCTTTGAAAGCATACTAAGCCTCCTCATCTGACTTGTGTGAAGAATTTGTACAATTAAGCATCATAGAGTGGCAGAAACACAGAGAGATGGTTTTAATGCTGTGCACATTCTTGCAAGCCTCACTTTAGGGCATTGTATATTATGTGGGTTATGGCAACAAACCGAAATTAACTAAGCCATAGTTTAAAGCAGTGGTTCTCAACCTGTGGGTCGGGACCCCATTTGTGGTCGAACGACCATTTCACGGGGGTTGCCAAACAATGCAGTCCGCCATTTTTTTCCCCTTTTCCTTAGCTGTGCTACTCCCTTTTATTCTATTGGCTTTTGAAAGCCAATAGAATAGACTCTCTTGAATAGAGTCTAATTCTATTGGCTTTCAAAAGCCAATAGGAATTGTCCAGGCTGTCTCTGCCCTGCTGAGCCTGCCAAAAGTCCCATTCTGCAAACGGGGCTGCACCAGTTGAGTAGTCCTCAACTTACGACTGGTTGAGTAGTCCTCTACTTACGACCGGTTGGGGGTCACGGCAGTAAAAAGGTTGAGAACCAATGATTTAAAGTGATGGCAAATCTAATCTTTGACTTGATCAGAGGGAAGGATAGAGTGATTTCTCTCCCAATCTCTTATCACAGCAGCAATAATAGAATATTAACATTGGGTCTTCCGTGTATATAACCTTCCTAGCTTTTGCTTATCTCTTTTGACTAACTTTCTCCACACACACAAAAAAAAATCCAATAAGAAGGAAAAGATGAGAAAGATCCACAATACCTTTTAACTGACTGTATTATCAACTTGTAAACACCCAATGATTTAAAACAATAAAAACCCACTGTACTTTTCCTCAAAATATCAGAGACTATATTAATTCACCTTGGGTAGTAGGTAAAAATAAAGGGATCCCAGTTTAATAAAGTCACTGTTGCTGACAGCCTGCCCTGACAAACCTTTTAAATATCAGCCTCATAAAAGCCATAGTTACTTTATCTTTTACATTCCTAAAATTGTAGTGGGAGCCATAAACACGCAATCTTCAGAAAAAGAGTCTAACTGGAGAAGTGCCTGGCTCATCTGGTTCTGATTAGACAATTAGCAAAAATAGAGTACAGAACCACAACCAGAGGTCTCATTTTGAAATATTAACCAGCCCTTGGGAAGGAAGGCCTCTGGAGAATAAGCATGGGTGGGTTGGAAGAAATTCACAGGCAATCCCAATCTAATGAGGACATCAAAACTTTGGAGAGCAGAGAACTGAAAAAAAGTAAGGTTCCACATTTAGGCAAGAAAAATCAAATGTACAGGTATAGTATAGGGGGTACCTTGCTCAATAGTAGTAACTGTGAGAGGGACCTCGGAGTCCTAGTGGGCAATCATTTAAATATGAGCCAGCCGTGTGCTGCAGCTACCAAAAAAGCCAACACAGTGCTAGGCTGCATTAACAGAGGGATAGAATCAAGATCACGTGAAGTATTAATACCACTTTACAAGGCCTTGGTGAGGCCACCCTTGGAATACGGCATCCAGTTTTGGTCACCATGATGTAAAAAAGAAGTTGAGACTTTAGAAAGAGTGCAGAGAAGAGCAACAAAGATGATTAGGGGACTGGAGGCTAAAACATATAAGGAACGATTGCTAAAATTGGATAGGTCTAGTTTAACGAAGAGAAGGACAAGGGGGACATGATAGCAGTGTTCCAATATCTCAGGGGTTGCCACAAAGAAGAGGGAGTCAAGCTATTCTCCAAAGCGCCTGAAGGCAAGACAAGAAGCAATGATGGAAACTAATCAAGGAGAGAAGCAACCTAGAACTAAGGAGAAGCTTCCTGACAGTTAATACAATTAACCAGTGGAACAACCTGCCTCCAGAAGTGGTGAATGCTCCAACACTGGAAGTTTTTAAGAAGAGACTGGACAGCCATTTGTCTGAAATGGTATAGGGTTTCCTGCCTGAGCAGGGGGTTGGACTAGATGACCTCCAAGGTCCTTCCAACTATTATTATTATTATTATTATTATTATTATTATTATTATCTTTTATTTCAAAAAGGAGGTTCCCCCTGAGTTTTGTACAGCTTGGGCTTTCTGGAGAACAAAAACAGAGTGCAAGAAAAAAGAAAACAAAAGCTATGTTCGCGGACAAGATAATTGCTTCCATATTTTATCGATGAGTAATACAAAGGCCCTATGAAACAATGGTCATATTCAGATGGTCAAGACCTTCATTGGCATGATTTTCAGAAATCTGGATGCAGCCATCTCTCTCCCCCATTTGAGAGAGCAGGATGGCTTCCAAGCAAGCTACGTTGTAAGTCCTTATTTAACCTTATTCCTGCCTTATTTGGAAATCACTAGTCATTATCCCCTCTCAATTTTGATTAAAATCAGGAAAACAGACTTCAAGCCACCAACAAGCCTTGAACCACCAACTCCACTCCCACCAACACTGACAGGGCAAGCCACTAGTATATAACATGAGAGCAAACCCAATTCCCTACTAGCACTGATGATGTTACCTGGTTTGGTAATGAAATGTCTGCAAGAAAAAAGCCAAGCTACAGACACACACAAACACAGTTTATGTATGTATGTGTATGTATACATAGAGAGAGACATACACCCATACATATAAACACACACATAGATACACATACTCCCAACACCTTTCTGTTAAGTGATTCAGTATAGTAATTTACTATAGATGAATCCAAGGCAAGTTATTTTCACAGCCTGGATAATGTTATGTACGTCTGTTGAAAGGCGTGGCCTCCATCTTTAATTCTACTGTTAAAAAGTGCTCCGAGCAATGTTTCTTTTACAGATCCAAACCAACTCCAATGAAGATCAAAGGGCCTACTGCAAGTTTATTTTGTGCCTCCAGGATGGGCTGCATTCAAAGTTCAAGCCAAGCTTTTCATGGACCTAGCAAGTTAGAAAAGTACTTCTCATGTTTGTTCCAAATTCTAGAGGCTAACCAGCATCCAAGAACAGCTATAAAAGTAAGCCTCTTTTTTTTTCCTGTTATGACAAGAACCAGATTTCTTAATTAAAAACAAATGTTTGTGTATCCCAGTAAAAGCTGATATTTAGAAAAACCACTTGAGGTATCTAAATGGTAGAATAATAACTAAGGCTGCATTCTTGAAGCAAAGATGTCAGGATTTAATATTTCACCACATTACCTCTGCCTCATGTCTTATTTAATAACTGGCCATGATTTGATACCCTCTTCTGAGGAGTAAACAATGCTCCTTGTCAATTCTCCACTGAGAGTTTGACAAAGGAGGCAGGAATACATCAAGTGACTAATTTGATTTCCATTCCAAAGCCATCCAAAAAGTTTAGATGTCATTTGCAATTGCAGCTTGTGTTTAGCTTTCTTACGAAACAAGTTTTGGAGTCTAGAGAAAAATCTGCCACTGCTAGAACACTAAAGGGACACCATTCTTAGCTGGGAGAAGGAAAAGAGAAATATAGAAAACAACTCAGATATAAGATTTTATCCATTTATAACTCATGTTTAGTCTTTGGTGACAAATGTCTTATTTCTTGCTTCGTTTGTGGCTTTGGGGTAGGGTCATAAGCAGTGGTGAGATTCAGCCGGTTTGTACCACTTCGGCAGAACCGGTAGCTAATTTTTTTGTTGCCCAGGCCCAGAATGGACTTCCAGAAGCGGCATCCACACAGAGAACCGGTTGTTCACATATTTGAATCCCACCACTAGTCATAAATATCCTCAGGAGAGGTTTTTGCTTAATTCAAATACAATCATTCATTTTCCTAAGAAAAGTGAAGGATATTTAGAAGCAAATGATGGATCTATTTCCCCAACTACATAGAAAGACAGGAGAGAACTTAAAGCAGATACTTTTGCCCCAGTAGATTCCAGTAGGAGAGCACAAAGGGTTTTGCTATGTTTATAAATACGTTACTTCCTTCCTTGGCACTAAGAATTGAAATAACAAGAAAAGGATTGGTTGGGTGCACCAACATTTGACTACCACAACTTTATATCCTAAAATATGACATTAATATAGATTACACTTACACCTATTGATGTATAAGTAAATGATGATGGGCAACTTCCAAAAAACCCACTATCCATGTCATCTGTAGACATATAACCACTATTCATAGCAGCATCTAAAAATAAAAGAATAATGGAATTACAATTAGAATTTAAAGCATTTGGCCAGTATGAATTTTTCTGCTTCCAATAGAAATTAGGTGTATATTGGATCATCTAGAACAGTGGTTCTCAACCTGTGGGTCGGGACCCCATTTGGGGTCGAATGATCATTTCACGGGGGTCACCAAACCATGCTGTCCGCCATTTTTTCCCTTTTCCCTAGCTGTCCTACTCCCTCTTATTGGTGGCCACACCCACTTGGGGGTCACCACAACATGGGGAACTGTATTATGGGGTCACAGCATTAGAAAGGTTGAGAATCACCGATCTAGAATTTAACTGGTAGTTGAGGAAGTCGTATAAAATTTAATTTCATTACAGCTAAATTACAACGCAATGAAATTTCATTACAATTAAATAATCTAACTAGTAATTGAGGTAGTTATATAAAATTTAATTTCATTACAATTAAATTAAATAATTGTAATTGAAATTAAATGTTCTATAACTACCTCAATTACTAGTTAAATTCTAGATGACCAAATATGGACCTAATTTCTATCAGAAGCGGAGAACTTCATGCTGGCTTTGAGTTCTACTGTAAAATCTATTACAGTTGGCTGTGTTGTCTGGCGTTTACAGAAGTTGTAATCCACAAACGTGTAAAGACCGCCAGATTGCCTTCTCTCAATCTCCTCCAAGCTATAAAGATAGACCAACCCTACAGATAAGCCAGGTTAGGAATCAGACAGCATGGAACTATATTTGATTTCTGAAATGTATAAATAATGGAGTTTTGCCTGAATCGCCCTCTATCTTCTTTTACGTGAACCAGAATCATGGCGGGGTTATTTCGACTTTCTCCCTTAAGCTTATTGATTTCCTAAGCCTGAGATGTTGTTTAGGATCTCTTGTATCTATTAGTAGCTTCTGCATTCCTTTGCTCTCTTTGCATTTGTGGGCCAGACGCCACTGAAGCATTTTTTAAAAAAAACGAACAGTTTTTGAAAAGGTAATTAGTAATAGTAGTAAAGTTGGAAGGGACCTTGGAGGTCATCTAGTCCAACCCCCTGCTCAGGCAGGAAACCCTACACCATTTCGGACAAGTGGCTGTCCAGTCTCTTCTTAAAAACTTCCAGTGTTGGAGCATTTACTGCTTCTGGAGGCAAGCTGTTCCACTGATTAATTGTTCTCACTGTCAGGAAGTTTCTCCTTAGTTCTAGGTTGCTTCTCTCCTTGATTAGTTTCCACCCGTTTCTTCTTGTCCTGCCTTCAGGTGCTTTGGAAAATAGCTTAATTCCCTCTTCTTTATGGCAGCCCCTGAGATATTGGAATACTGCTAACAGGTGAGCAATTTCATGTTTTTCAGCACCTTGGACAGAGCATGAAGTGCAAGGGAACTTGTCCAATTAGGGTTAGGCTGAAACTAAATCTACTTTATAGGACTAAGACCCAAGATTCTACCTCTTTGCTAAGAAATGGATGATCAAGCCTAGCACTAAAACAGTATTTTAAATTGTGCATGTTGAACACACTGGAGTCTGGCCCCTCAACTACCACCTGGCCTGTTGTCATTGATCCAAATCTCAGAAGACAGATCCTCAGCACTGATGATCTTACCTACTTTGGATAATGAAACATCTGCATGAAAACAAAAGCTCAGAGAGCACCAAGGACCCCTCATTTCAACTGTGAGCTACGAATATTCTCCTTTAACAGTCTCAGAAGACGGCTGCTTGTTTGGTTCAAGAGCTGCAACATCCCAACTCATGAGGCCTCATTTTTCTACTACTGTCTTATTTCAGGTTGACCCAATACACTGAATTTGGTTACAGAGGGTTGATTGATGTGAAATATTCCAGGCAATTACAGAGGTAGAGAAAGTCAGCTGACTGAGGAGATGTTATGTACACTCCAGATATACAGGAGAGTGAAATTTTGCCTGCAAAGTGGATGCAGCCCAGGTAGTGAAGAGTTCAATCTAGAGTCAAGTAATAGGAGATAGACAAGTGTAGCACAGGGTCAGGAAAAGTAGCAAAGAAGCAAAGGCCAAAAAGTTCTCTAAGCCCAGTTGAGTCAGCAAGTCAAGAGTCAAGGAGCAAGAGGAGAAATCAAAATCTCAGGGATGTAGATCCGATATGGTGTTGTTTTTAATGGCGTTCACACTCTGAGAGCTGTCCTTAAACAGGCCAACTGGTACGGCTCAGTTAAGAACAATGGGTCTTTGCTTGTTGACTAACTAAGCTAATCTGTAGTCTTTTAGTCAGTGAAGATTTTAGTCTGATCTCCCTAGTTCTGCCTCAATTCTCAATTCTCTAACCATCATACTGTACCAGCACTCAGTATATTATTGATTATTCCCCCCCCCCCGGACACATTATACAAAGACATAGCTACTTGAAGAAGGCTCTAATGCTGGGGAAAGTGGAAGGAAAGGGAAGAAGAGAAGGATTTTTTTTAAAAGAAGTTTCTGCCAATTCTGAGAGAAATGTGCTTATCTCAGTAGGGATTTCCAAGTTTCCAGACTATTACAGGCAGGCATCACTATTTCAATGTTTGTTTTTATGGCATAGCTTTAAAAAAAACCCTAGGACTTCTAAGTAATGGAAAGTGTCTAAGAAGTTCTAAGAACTAACGGAAAGTGTCAATTCCAAAGGGTGTGTCAATCAAAAGCCTGCCAAATGACTTATGTCCCTCTATGTTTCCCGTCATAAATAAAATAATAGAACACACAAACTGTTTGGAAAATGAAATGCAAACTGTCTCCATTCTTGTTGAAAGAATTTAATAAATTTAGAGTAATGATGGGCAGAAGAACTAACTGGAATATGGAATGCGAAGCAAATTCAGTAGCCCCAAAATACAGAGGTGGCCAATGATTTTTTTTTCAGGAACAAAATGATATTTTCCCACATTCAGTAGCTTTGAGGGTGGTCTGGATTCCTTGTGCCAAAGGGTAGAAATGATTGCATTATGTGGGTTTTGAAATTAGCTACTGAACTCTGGTCTAATGCATCAACAAAGATTTTCAAAAATTGAAGGAGAAATTCACACATTACATTTAAATATTAAATTAGTCACCTGCTACAATGCTACGTGAACTTTTTTAAAAAAAAACAACTGTTACTATGTAAGTAATGCACATCTTAAAACAACACCATTAGATTAGAATTAAGATAGAAATTTCAAATAATTAAGAAGACTATATCATAACTGAAATGCATAAGTTGATTCATAACTGTAAAATTCCCCTTCAAAATTATCATTCAGTTTCGCTCAACAAAATCCATGTCTTCATAGATGATAAAGTTTCTTAACAGGTTCTGAATTTTTAACAAACTGATATCCGTCATTTCATATATTGTATCAATAAGTTATACCGTTAAGACTATAGTATTTCTAATAATTTGGAGTGCCAAAGGTCTATATTTGAAATGCTATATTTCCTATATATGAAGGTCTGTATATATGTATTTCCATTTCTAGATGGTAGATAGTCTTGTTGTCACCAGCATAAATCTGAAAGCATCTTTTGTGTTTATTATTTTCATTTTATCCCTTAAATATAAAATATATAATTCTATTGTTGGCAGAACAGGACAGTTCTTACTTGTGTCCCTAAAAATGCTTTCCAAAACTATTAGATCTTTCAACATTATTCCCACCAAACATGTTAAGAGTGTCAAGACTAAAGATAACCTTTAATTTTATGCATTAACAAAATTATACTTGAAATTTTGAATTCTTCCGTTCTAAATTCCTATAGAACAGACCACGAATCCACAAATTTCCATTTTAAATTAGCATTTCTCAATCTTGGCCTTTTGAAAATGTGTGGATTTCAATCCACCCAAGATAGCAGGGGAAATATGGGAGTTGAGGTCCATGGACCTTAAAGTGACCAAGGTTGAGAAACCCACTGTTCTAATGGCTTATGCAGCTAGTCTTCACTCAAAGTTTCTTAAACCATAGATCCCTTCACAGGACACCAATCGACATATTGAACTGACCTTGCTTATCACCCAATAGTTCCCAGATCTTCACATTAACTTAGGAATAAGCTAATGATGTTTCTGAATCTCCTTCATGTCCTTCGTCTTACATGGCAGCAGCACCCCAAAACACTGGAAGATAACAACAGCAAAAAACAAATGTCTTATCAACTCTCCAATCCCTTTCAAATAGTTTGAAATGGTTTGACCTCACTAGGGGCTCCAATGATAATGTCTACGTTTGATCCTGTTGTAGTTTGCTGAGGGAATAGGAATTCTGGAATTCACTCCAGCTTGGGACACTGCTGTTCTAAATTGACTCTCTTGTAATGTCTACAACAGAACATAGCTAAAACAAGCCATGTCTTAATATGATGTGTAAGATCAGCCAAAAGCCTCTGACGTTTGTTCAATAAACTCTTATCCAGACTTTCTCTCCAAAATGTATGTTTTCACTATAGGGTTTGAGACAAATTGAAGCAAAAGCTTCAATCCATTCAGGGTAAATTTGTTTCTCTAAAGCTTATTCTCTTGTTTTTCAGCAATCCCAGCTCCTTAAAAAGGCTGGGAAACTCCTAGAACCCTAGAAAGTTATCACTGCTCAGTATAGATAGTAGTGATACTCAAAAAATAGAGTGGGTGTATCATAGCATCCTATGCTTCTGATAATCTCTATGTTATAGGGTTCCAACAGCAAAGCTGGGAAAGACTTTGGCTAAAATCCCTGAAGATGGAAAAACCTCATAGCTTAATTCATCATGTGTCAGCCTCATCCTTTCTAATTTTAATAAGAACATCAATAAATTCGCTGCATAAAGTATTGGTTCCCGTAAAACTAGGATGAATCATAATACCTTGGACTATAAAATGGTAGCCAAATATTTAAAAATTCTAGGAAATGACTAATACTTTGTAAAGCTCCACTTCTTCCTGATGTTTAATTCAGATGGAAAAGGGCACAGCTTAACTTATAGAGATGAAAAAAGGAGGAAACAGCTTGTTAACTTGACCCTGTCCACTTGCATGGTGACAAGGTTGTTAGCTGCCCAAAATAATAGGCAAATATAAATGTGGCTGCTGGATACAAAAATCCCTTTGCTTAGGAGGAAGCAAGATTTTTTTGAGACAGGTTGGAGCCAGGGAACAATTGACTAGGAAGAAAAGAGACTGTTCCCTTGAATGCCCAGCTGAGATGGTGCCTATAAGATGACATCTTCAATTTCATTATCCTAACTTTCTCACTGCCAAGAAAAGCGTCTGGTTCCCATTGCATAATGTCAAGGAAAGGCACTCTGTATATGCTTACAGTCATTTATCTGTCTCAATATTTAAAAGACGTTGAAAAGTTAGGAGTCTAGTCATTGAGTTTGTGACTCAAGTCAAATACTTGAGTCTTCACACTTTGCCAAGAGGCAACATCTGCTGTTCTCCACTGTAAGACATGTCCAATCATCACATGGAAAGTGATTGATTACGTACAATCAAATCATTATTGCTTCTCTCCATGTTGATCTGTCCCTAACCTGGCTCTTCAGCTGTTCCAATGGTGTACCCATCACCACTGTAACTGAGTCCATCCACTGGTCATTCTTTTCTTTACTCTTTCCTTCCACTTTTCCCAGCATTAGAGCCTTCTCCAAAGGGTTAGGACTTTTTATAAGGTGTCCAAAGTAGGATAATTTGCACAATTTACACACATTTGTGCTTGGAGTTTGAATTGATTTGCTTTGTTTTCTTGGCTGTCCACTAATGGAAATTCTCCATACATGGAAAGTACCCACCTGAAAAAGAGAGGACTACTTATTGTACTTCTTCATGATTTAGAACACTGATACTGCAACCTTCCAATCAGCTTCCAATCTTCCTTCCTTCCTTCCTTCCTTCCTTCCTTCCTTCCTTCCTTCCTTCCTTCCTTCCTTCCTTCCTTCTGGTGGAGACTGAAGTCAAAAATAATTACAGAATTTTCCATGAATCCTACATGAATTTTAGCTTGCTCCCTAGCTATCAAAAAGTTGTATCTAAATTTGGGATTAACAGATCAATATATTTCACTATACTCAAAACTTATGCCAATTAATTTAAATCTTGTATAATAGGGTCTTTTATTGTAAAATCATGAATTTCTATACATTCTTAGTATTTACTTTTTAAATACCAGCAGCTATTGTTCTGATAGTCATAGTTCTATGCGAGGCGTCTTATAAATTGCAAACAGCATGCTGTCTTGCTTCATTACCAAAAACATACTTTGGTTAATTTATATATAAATAGTATGAATTTCCTTTTTCTAAAAAAAAGTAGCAAATTTGTTCTCTACTATGAAAATTGCAAACACATCGGATCTTTGACCTTGCTGAGCCTAATGGGAACACAAATAGTTTATAATATTCTACCAGTTGTGTTATTTTCAGCCATCAATGAGAATTTATATAAAAATAAACATCATTTAAGAAATAAGGGGAAATTGGATCAAGCCAAAACTTAATGGCCTCAAGAAACACCACAGCATTGATTTAGCTGAATAGCAAAATATGAGATGTCTTAGGTAACTGTGCTATATTCATACATAAATATATTTCCTTTAAGTTTACTGGGCCACATGATAAAATTCAGGGTCTCTATATTTCAACTGCAAAGTTCAAATGACTGCTTCTAGCTTTAATTTTGTTTTTGTTTTTTTTAAAGGAAACTTTCTGGAAAAAATTAACTGAAAGTCAAGACAGCTCTGTTGCACAGACAAAAACAATACTTAGTAACCAATATTACTAAACCATCATAGTGTACACTAAATGTCAAAAGCATATTTTGGATATAGAACCGAGGAATGGCTTATGTTAAGAACATTATTACAAAGAACATTATTATTTTTCTTTCTTTTTTTTAGCAAATAAGAACCTTACCTTGAAAATTCATACTAGGTAAGTAGATAGGAAGGAAGGAAGGAAGGAAGGAAGGAAGGAAGGAAGGAAGGAAGGAAGGAAGGAAGGAAGGAAGGAAGGAAGGGAGGGAGGGAGGGAGGGAGGGAGGGAGGGAGGGTTTTAGAGATACCTTAAAATAAACGATTTCCTATGAAACAAGTACTATTTCAGTTTTATGAGAAATCTGATAGAGACCCAAAATCTAGCAGGAATCAAGGCCATAGACTATCTATCCTTCACCTAAAGAAATGCACAGATATGGTTGGTTTGGGGCAAGATGCTTTATATTGGCATTTTTGGAAAAGGGTCTTTTATTTACTAAGGCTACTGTAGGGGGTTACAGTGGGCTTAATAAATAAAGTAATAAATGTTATATAAAATATTTATTATAAAAATAAATGATTTTCCTTTATTTCCAGCCTCAGAAGCAAGGAAAGCCAACTGTCCATTTTCAGCTGTTCTGGGTGGAGATGCTGAGGACCCCAGAAAGGATATTCAGGGATATTCAAGGCCACAGAGCAATCTTACAACTTGACTTCTGGAAAGTCCATTTATGGCAATTTACAAATGTGAATCACAATTCGAAAAACAGTGCTTTGAATGGGGCCAAGGTCAGGGCGATAGGGCGCAGCGTTACATTCTTGTGGCATGCTCTTGTACGATTGTTATTGCCCTTTGTGACTGTCAAAAAAGATGAAGCACTATCAGATTAACCAAAGCGGGGGAACATATGTTGAACTCAGCTCGGGAAAAGATGCGTCCCATTGTCAGAATAAACACAGCAGTAGTGAGTTTACACTGACGAGTCCCTGCCTGGCTTGGTATGAAAGTGTTCGCCTCATGGGCTATTATTCTTTGTTTTCACAGTGTACACAACCAGCCATCAATTTGAAAGGAAGATTATTCAGCTTGGCATTTCTTCCTAAAAGTTTATATCATTTGGATAATTGTCCAAGCTGGGTTTTTTCCCCCCTTTTAACTATGTTTTTTCCCTCCTTTTCATAGGGAAGGTTTTCTTTTATCGATGTTACGGGGTTTTCGGTTTCATTAATTTTTTTAAGCATCCTTAAGCCAGACTTCTATGGTAACACAAATTTAATGGCCAATGGAAAACTTCCAACCTATTGCTCAACAAAGCCACACTTCTTTTTATTCCGTAACCCTCAGTGACAACTACCAAGTAAACAAGGACTGCTTGTCCAAAGGAAAATCCTCAAAGCTTGCAGGAATAGACTCAGATCTGTCTGTGGCAAAGCATAGTTGATGAATTCACCTTTTCCAGCCGACTGAATAGTATAATATGATTTGCTATATTTGCATTGCATTACATTATCAGTGTTTTTTCTGTACCGCAAAATATACTGATAGGAATAAACAAGCATTGTAAGAGAACGGTATCGGTATACGTCAGTGTTTTTCAACCTTGGCAACTTCGAGATATGCGGATTTCAATTGTCAGAATTCCCCAGTCACCTTGTTTCCTTCTGCCACAAAGATGACTGAAGTAATAGAGAGAAACGAATTCAGATGATCTAAAAGAAAATTAAAAACCTACGTTCAGCCATAGAATTGAAAAAAATCAGTTAAAAGTGATTTAATGACAATGCTAGCTATTCATCTTAATAACAGCAGCACTGTGCTACTACAGCACGTTTGATTTTTCTTTTAAAATTAATTTAAAATTAATTGTCCTACGAGCCATGAAAGTCAGAGGGATGACTCTGGATGAATCACCAGGAGACTGTGAGTTCTATCCTACCTCAGCCATGAAAGCCAACTGGATGACTTTGGGCCAGTCCCCCTCTCTCAGCTCAACTCACAGGACTGTTGTGGGAAAAACAGGGGGGAAAAGTTGTGTTGGATATATTAGGAAGGAATATTAGTTATGTTCACCGCCTTGGGTTACTTACAGTATAAAATGATAAAGGCAGGATAGAAATAAATAAATAAATAAATAAATGTCCTTGTAAGACAGTGGTTCTCAACCTTTTTAATGCCGCGACACCCAACCGGTCGTAAGTCGAGGACTACTACTACTACTACTTCTGCAGCACCGTTTGCAGAAGGGGACTTTTGGCGGGCTCAGCAGGGCAGAGACAGCCTGGAAAATTCCTATTGGCTTTTGAAAGCCAATAGAATTAGACTCTATTCAAGAGAGTCTATTCTATTGGCTTTCAAAAGCCAATAGAATAAAAGGGAGTAGCACAGCTAAGGAAAAGGGGGAAAAAATGGCGGACTGCATTGTTTGGCAACCCCCGTGAAATGGTCGTTCGACCCCAAATGGGGTCCTGACCCACAGGTTGAGAACCGCTGCTGTAAGAGATCAACATGGCAACTGCTCTCTTTTTATGTCCAGATTAAATCAGCGAGGTTTTGGGGGTGTTTTTTTTATAGGATTTTCTTTTCTTTACCCAAAGCTATATTGTCAGGAAAAGGGTTTAGTTAAATAGAGAGAACAGCACCAATGTGACATGGATACAACCAGAATTCTCGCTTTCTACTTCCACATATGTGTACCTCGCCATACGGTACAAAAATCAGAAGGATTTCGTTCTAAGACCTGAGCATCAGCTGGAAGATCGTCCCCTTCAAATCTACTCAAGTGATTCACCAAATAATAAGCATAAAAAGATATCCTTTTATGGCTGAAATACTGTCACAGAGAAAAGGTCAGGAGATTTAGTATGCAATCGAGCCAATAAACAGATAAAAATGAGTAATTTCCTTGGTATCAAAGTTTAGCCATAGTAATATAAAATGTCCTTTAAAATGCACTCATGTGACACGGTCAGCAAGGGCTATTAATTCAGGACTGGAACAGGGTTTAATTTAATTCAACTCCGGGACTAGTCAAAATGTATTAGAAAAAAAATTAATACCAGCTAAGAGATCTTCAGCTTATGGTGAGAAGGAATCATCTTAAGATGTCTGGACTTTAAGTCCCAGAATTCCCCAGCCAGAACAGGGATACCTTCATCTTGGGAAGAGATAAGAATGCATGTTTCTGGATCCAATAACACCCAACAGAAAAATGTGCTGAAACAAATGTGTAAATAGATGGAATTTCTCAGGTATGCCTGGAAAAGTCACAAAGCAACAATAGCACTAAAGATAGGAGAGAAAGGAAACTGTTCATTGGCTGGAACAGTTTTTCCAATTGCTGGAAAAAGACATCATTTTTTTGCGAAGGGCTTTTCGTTGAGCAAATCACTTCTATAGGAAAAACAGAGATATTTTTACCAATCCTTTCAACCCATATTTTCATACTGAGTTTTTTCAGAGCATCTTCAATACAAGGCAGCCATCTCAAGCACATTAGACAATGGCCTTATTTATTTGTTTGTTTATTTCCTGCCTTTATTATTTTTACAAGTAACTCAAGGCAGCAAACATATCCACCCACCTTTGTCCTCTTATTTTTCCCCACAACAACAATCCTGTGAGGTGAGTTGGGATGAGAGACAATGATTGGCTTAAAGTCACCCAATTGGCTTTCATGGCTAAGGCGGGAATAGAATTCACAGTCTCCTGGTGATTGGCCCAAAGTCACCAGCTGACTTTCATGGCTAAGTGTAGGACTTGAACTCATGGTTTCTGGCTTTCTAGTCTTCACTTAGCTTATTCTATTTCTTTCATAACCTTCTATATGTTTCAAATGACCATGTTCCAATTAACCTCAGGGCTTGAATCATTTTGAAGGACTTCATTATATTTCTTTTTGCTAAAATCCTCAAATAAGAGCATCCAAAAGCTCCAGAAAACTTCATTAACGATTAGAAAACAGAATTCACTGTATGTCACATTACAACTATTTCACCTCTTAATGCATTAGAATTGTAACTCGCCAAAATTTCATGCCCAAAGGAATTATGAAAGCTGTCAAGTCTACACATTTGGGAACATCAAACTGGAGAAGTCTGCCATTTAGTGATGGGATGTAATGTGGAAATTTGTACATTTATAGGTTAAAATTTGGATTGGCTGGTGGAAAACCTACA